CCCCCCCCCCATTAAATGACTGATTTCACTAAAGGATAAGAGTCTGCTACCTTTTAAACTTTAGAAACAGGGGTGTCTAACCTGGACTTTTTTAGCTTATCGGTGGTGTCAGATACCATGAAAAGTATGCATGGACTTTTTTTTTTGGCTTATTGGCTTTCATTATTGTTTGTTTATGTAATGTGTGGCCCAAGACAACTCTTATTCTTCCAGGGTGTGGCAGAGGGGGAAAAAAGGTTGGCCAGCCCTGCTTCAGACTTACCTTAAGGTTTAAATCACCCCCTGTTCAATCCCTATCAAGTCCCATCTGCTCTACCTCATTTGTATGTACTTTTCTTGCCTGAGCCTGTTACCTGAGCCCCAGTCATCATCATGTATCTTCTTACCTTGCTCTGTTACCTGAGCCCCAGTCATCATCATGTATCACCTGGATTACAGAAATAGTTTCCTACCACAGCCCCACCCCTACCTCACACCCACTCTGATGTACTTTCTACTCTGTAGCCAGGTGGTAAAACTAAATCTGATTGAGTCTTTTAGCTTAAATTGGCTCCCCATTGCCTTTAAGTGTAAACCTGAGTCTTCAGGATGGCATACAGTCCTATAAGATCTGACTGTCTGGCTAGTCCTAAACTTTGACCCACCCTGTCTCTCACTCAGTGTTGGCCTGGGGCACTCTGAGCTTCCTTTACTTTCTTATCTCTGCTCTGGTCCTTGATGCAGGCTCTGCAGGGAGCACTCCTATCCCCTTGCTATACACCTTGTCCCTAACTCCTGGGAGGGAGGCCTTCCCTTGTCCCTAGCTAAATTAGGTTTCCTCTACTTCTATCTCCCTTTTATCACACTAGTCATCTGGTACTGTATTTACATGTGTACAATGACTGTCTTCCCAATGTTTCTGTATGTTCTTTAGGGCAGGGACCCTGTTTCTCTTGTTTATCTCTGTCCTAGGTTCCTAGCATGGTACCTGCTGCATAGTAGGTAGTCAGTATATGTTTAAGGAGGGAACTGATGGATATTTTATACCTAGAGATTTCTGGTACGTTTTCTAAATTGAATTTCAGACCCACAGTGGGCAGCACTTTTGCTTTTTTAAATTGATCTTAAATTAAGTATAACAAGATTTCCAAAGAAGTTTGGTCTCCATTTTTCTTCTTTTTGTGTGTGTGTGCTTATAAAAACAATACATATTCTCTATGTATTTAGCCCCTCATTTATTTTAATGAGTTGATTTTTTTTTAAATGGGCCAGTTGAATAGTTTACTGGTTGAGTGCATAGGCTTAGAAGTTAGCTGACTAGAGGTTCACCTCTTCTGCATATGGCTGTGTGACTTTGTGCAAATTGCTTATCTTACTAAGACTCCATTTCCTGGCATCTAACCTGGGAATAAAAATAGTGTGTACTGTTTTAGGCCAATATAAGGATGATGTGAGATAATACATGGAAAGTACTTCACACAGTACTCCATTCTGCCAGTTAAAAACAAAATCTGTATATTACTATATAGTTTTAATAGTACTTTTATATTCTCTTATTTCATTTTTTTTCTAAATAAGAATTAAAAGTAGAACAGTAAATTATTCATGGTCTTTTTATTTTTAGCTATTCGTCTTACCAGTTTCTCTTTCTGAGAAATCATTTTTCCTCACGGGAAATATACCAGCATGGAAAGATAAACATTAATTAACAGTCATTATTTGGTCCTTGGAAATGATACCTAGGATGTCAAGTTCTCATTTCACTTTGAAAAACAATGACTCTATGGACATTTAAGTCTTACATAGCCCAGAGTGCTTCGTGAACTTTTTATAATTTAAACTCTGGCATATTCCGTGTGTCCTTTTCAAAACTTTTGCTATGCCCTTAATGGCCTTAGACGGAGAGGCTGCTGGCATCTATCTCAGCTGCAGCAGACCAGCACAGCAAAGAGAACAGATCAAGAATTTACAGAGCAGGGCGGCACCTGTGCGTCAAAAGAGTAGAGCGCTGGCCCCATATACCCAAGGTGGTGGGTTCAAACCTGGCCCCAGCCAGAAAAACTGCAAAAAAAAAAAAAAAAAAAAAAAAGAAGAATGTACAGAGCATAGGCTTGCGGAATAAATTTTTCAGAGGAGCAGGCTTCCAAAAGGAAAGTTCCTACAAGTCAAGATATGATGGGTAGGTGGAATGCAGTGTGCGTTTCATGGCAAAGGTAATACTTACAATTGAGCAGGTAATAGAGTCAGGGCTTCAGAAGTTCTTCCAGGTTAAAAAGTTGACGTTAGAGCCTAGCCAGTAAACAGAGGGGCAGAGCATATTCCAACCTCTGGAGGATTAGGGACAGATACGTGGAGTGAGGGTAAAGTGAAACAGAAACTTGCTTTTGCTTTATGATAAATGAAAAAGAGGCTGTCAAAGTGTAAACACTGGTGTTATAAAATCTATTATGCTGCCTCTTATTTGTTTCCAGTCCCAAAGAAGGCACTGAAGGGCAAGACAGTGGGGTGGGGGGAGAAGAAAGAGCAGCTATGTCTCTGTAGTACATGGTCACCTCTGGTGGGGATGGGTGACCCCACTGATTATCAAACAGGTCTCAGGCTGGTTTGGCAGCCAGCTCAGTAGATCCTGCAAGCTGAGGATCCTTGTGAGCTGCAAGGCAGGGCCGTGTGACTGCATAAACTTCTATCAGTCCTTTCACACACTCCATCTGTGGTCAGCAGATCACCCCCGTGCTACCAACCTCCACTTCGGAGAAAGAAGAGTTGACAATGGAAGATTGTATTCAGTATAATTTGCTACATGTAGATGGCCTTTTTTATTTCAGAAGAATTTTCCATTTTTTTCATTATAAACCTCTCAGGCTATCAGTGTCATTTTACTGATGTTGAAGGAACGCTTGGTAAATTCTGCTACCTGTGTCCATTAAATTATCTAGTGAAAAAGTCTTAACTCTCTTAGGCTGTCATGTGATGTCCCACTGTGCTTTCATTCTCATTCCTCTAACCTCCTCCGGTCAATTAAACTCTTTGCTTCCCAAACATACCTTCTTATCAGTGTTATCTTCCAGCCTCTTCTTTGCCCTGTCTTTGCCTGTCCAAATGCTATTAATTTCATAGTGTCAGTGTGATGTCATCAAGAGGAAGTAAGCTGGGAATCCAAAGACCTACCTCTTGTCCAAGTTTTTTAGCTTTCTGTGTTATATAGAATAAATCGATATTCCTCCTGTAAGGGCTTTTTCTTTTTTGTTTTCTTTTTTCTTATCTGTAAACTTATAAGAATGGAATGGGTATTTTCTAGGGTCCCTCTTGCTGTAATATTCTGTAATATGCTTCTTTAATAAAGTTTTCCTGACCACTACAGGTTGAAGAATTGACTCCACTCGCTGAACTGTGATAGCTGGTCATTTATAGATTTCTTTATCATTTTTCTTTCTTTCTTTTTTTGCCGGGACTGGGTTTGAACCCACCACCTCCAGCAGCATATGGGGCCGGTGTCCTACCTTTTGAGCCACAGGCGGTGCCCATTTACATTAGATTTATTGGTCTTCCTGCTGTCTCTATGAAAGGGATAGAGCTTCTTCTTCTTTTTTTTTTTTTGGCAGTTTTTGGCCGGAGCTGGGTTTCAACCCACCACCTCCGGCATATGGGGCCAGTGCCCTACTCCTCTGAGCCATAGGCACTGCCCAAGAGATAGAGCTTCTTGAGAAGAGTTTTCATTATTCTGGGGTTCTTCCTGAAGCCTTGCATGTTGTAGACATACAACAAATATTTGCTGAATGAATTACTGAATTTTAGAGTACTTTCCTTATGAGTAGCCAAAATGCTTTAGAGATGATTTGAATTTGAAATTTAGGCTTAGTTGGATTATTTTCTGGAGATTATAAGACAAATTGACTGAATTCCTTCTTCAAGAAATTTCTTCTTCATTCTTTAGTGAAGGAAGCAAATGAATTAGAATCTGGAGACTGCCCACTCAGATACTGATAGGATCAGAGACTGGCAGCATTATAACTAAGACAGAGAGTGAAATGCTAATTATTCTAAAATTTCCAATTATAATCAAGTGCTAATTAGTATTTAGCTAATTAAATGGTATATAACTTTGCCCAGGCTTGTATATACTGGGCCAAGGCCTGGAAATTAGACGAAGGTGGCTGGTTAAAATTTAAATAGAACTTTTTGAATACTGTAGCAAATTTCAGTTCTTTTCAAATGTGTTTGCATAAGTTTGATGTCTGTGTTAAGATCTAGACATCATAGAATCTTTGAGCAAGATTCTATGTTAGGCTCTTGGCTGCTTCCATTAGGAGGTGAAAAGAGGGTATAAAACCACCTGTAGTATCCCTTAGTCTGCAGAACTGTGCTTTGCTAAGGACTGGTATGAAGTTTGTGAGCTTTCTTGTTCTGTGTTCTTCTGAGTCCTGGTGATCTATCTGCCAGAGTTTTTTTCAAGAATATGTACTTTTCAAGTTATCACAAGTCAGGTTCTTATTTAATAGCGTTGAAAATGACCTGCTTTGTTGATCAATCAAATGGTTTGTGGCTTTCTTAATATTTAATATACCTTTTCACCTTCACCCATCTTGTAAAACAAGACAATTAAAATGAAAAGACGGTAGCCAGGCATTGTGGCAGGCGCCTGTGGTCCCAGCTACTTGGGAGGCTGAGGCAGGAGAATCGCCTAAGCCCAGGAGTTGGAGGTTGCTGTGAGCTGTGTGGCACCCTGGCACGCTACCAAGGGCAATAAAATGAGACTCTGTCTCTAAAAAAAAAAAAAAAAAGAAAAGAAAGAAAAGATAGGCTAGTGAGATGGGATAGGTGGAGGACCACCCACTCTTAGCTTCCATGGGTAGTGTCAGGATGTTTTCACACAAATGCAAAGTGACAGCCATCTGGGAAAAGG